CTCTATGTTTGTGAATTTATTCAAGTTAGTCCCTTAACTTCTTGTTTATGTTATTGTGCATGCATGTCTTTGATTTCGTCCACTTTAGTCCAAAATGTTAAAAAATGTTGCAATTTGGTTTATCTCTTTTTCAAGATTGTTTATTAAGACCCAAATATAAACATAATGAATAAGTTGAATCAAAACCCCAATTTTAAAGTATGCAACCGTGTTTAAACGGAGGATTGTGAGGTGCGCGTATGCCCTTCCTCACTCCTAACCGAACCCCCGAACCTCGATCTCTGTGCAGACCCGTTTTAGGTGACTTGTCCCACTTTATAATTTGGATGAGTGGCGACTTCCTTTTTCTTATATATTTCACACTTGATTTTTCAATTTATTTTGAAAAATATCTTAAGTGGTCGTCAACACTTAGTGCTCTGATTCTTAAGGTATTGAATAATTGGAAAGCGCCAGTCTGTTTGGGTGACATTAATACTGCAAGTAGAAACTGTCATGCCACGTTGATGAATTGATGGCAGACTGCGCTTTTCAACTATTACAACTTTCTGCATTACACCTTCAGGAATTCGCAAACCTAAAGCAATCTAGGCCATTTCATTAGCTTCATAGTTCTGGTCTCTAGGCATATGTCTGATGGAAACATCATCAAACTCTTCTAGTAATTGCACAGCCAAAGCAAAATAAGGGGCTAAAGCAAGGCTAGTACATTTGTAGTCACCAGACAATTGCTTTAAGACTAGTTGTGAGTCCCTTATAACCTCAACCATGGATACTTTAAACTCCACCAACATCTCAAGACCAATAATCAAAGCTTCATATTCTGCTTGATTATTTGTGCAATCGAAATCCAGCTGGAAAGACATCTGTGTTTTTAGCCCAAACAGGGAGATTACGACAACTCCAGCTCCAGACATGGTTTCTGTACTAGATCCATCAAAAATAAGTTTCCAAGGAACTAAACTTATTGAAAATAAGTTAATCCCTTGTTTTTCATCTGCTTCCACTTCCAGACATGGATGATCTGCAAGAAAGTCTGCCAGTACCTGCCCTTTGACAGCCTTCTATGGTATATACTTCAAATTAAATTCAGATAAGGCCAGAATCCATTTACCTATTCGGCCTTTCAACAAAGGGCGAGACAACATATATTTGACAATATCAGTCTTAGCAACCACATAGACCTCGGAACAAATCAAATAATATCTTAATTTTATTGCAGCAAAAAAGAGCGTAAGACACAACTTTTCGACCGAAGAATATTTCACTTCGGTCTGGGTCAAACATCGACTCAAGTAATACACAGCCTGCTCCTATTTTTTATCATTTTCCTGCGCCAGTAGACATCCTATGGACTCGTCTGCGGCGGATATATACAAAATCAAAGACTTAGTTTTCATAGGCGGTACAAGTATTGGTGGTCTGGAGTAGTACCGCTTTATCATATCAAAAGCAGACTGGTGGTGTTCTTCCCACTTAAAATCCATCTCAGACTTGAGTTTCAACAGAGGAGAAAAGACTCTGGTTTTCCCAACCAAGTTAGAAATGAAACGTCTTAAGAAATTAACTTGGCCAAGAAATCTCTGCAACTCCTTCTTGTTCTGTGGTGGTTTTGCCTCAATCATAGCCCTGGCTTTGTTCTTGTCAACCTCCAGACCACGCTCATGCACCAAGTACCCAAGGAAGTTACCTGCAAACACTCCAAAGGCACACTTTAATGGGTTCATTTTCAAGCAATGTTGCCTCATCCATTCAAAAGACTTCCTCAAATGGACCAAGTGGTCTTCTTCTCCATGTGACTTCACCACAACATCATTAATATAGATTTTCATGAACTTACCAATCATATCATGAAAAATTGCATTCATGGCTCTTTGATAGATAGCTCCAACGTTCTTCAAACCAAATGGCATCACAACCCATTCAAAAGTTCCAACAGCACCTGGGCATTGAAACGTTGTCTTTGGAACATCTGTGTCTGCAATAAAAATTTGGTTGTACCCACTATGGTCATCCATGAAGGATAAAATTTTATGACGAGCTACTTCATCAACCAACAAGTCTGCAATTGGCATAAGATACTCATCCTTTGGTGTGACTAAGTTTAAGTTTCGAAAATCAACACAGACTCTTAATTGTTCATTCTTTTTCAGCACATGCACTGCATTTGATAACCGTTCTACATACCTGCATGTCCGAATGAATCCAGCTTTTACCAACCACTCAATTTCTTCTTTCACCTTCAAGGTGACCTCTGCAGACATGTGTTTGGGCGACTGTTTATACGGTCTGAATCCTTCTGCAATTGGCAGTTTATGTTCCACCAATTTTCGATCTAGACCTAGCATTTCTGAGTAATCCCAAGCAAAACAGTCTTTAAATTCATGCAAAACTCTGACAATTTGATCTCATGTCTGCGGCTCAAGAGAGCCGCTGATAAATGTTACCTTTGGCTCACTTTCAGACCCTAGATTGATCCCCTCCAGTGGGTCTTGAACTTCAGCTTTTAAATCATCCAACTTGGCTGGGGCAAGATCTAGCTCCTCCAAAGTTATTTCATCACCTTGGTCTGCCTCCTCGCCTTCATGAACAATTTCAGACCTGTCCACTTGAACTGCTTTTTCAGTAAAATAGGCCGTTAATTTCTTTGTTATCTCCAACACGGCATGTTCTCTTTCTTGTCTCAGACGTGCTTGCTTCATTAGATTTCTTCAATTTTTAGTTTCCCCTTTAGCCTATAAGGAATTATTGTTGTTGGCTGAAGAAGTTCATCACATACTTCCTCTATAACATGCTTAGAAAATGACGGTCTACTACATTCTATTATCCCAATCGGCTTCCCATGTTTATCCATCCCAAAAAACCGAACGGTACTAATGTTTTCTCCATAATATCTAGCCTCCACCAGGTGGGTATTGGCTGAAAAAGGCTTATCATCGGCAGACACCACCTTAGCTTTGCCACCATTCCAAAAAATCAGTTTCTGGTGAAGTGTAGAAGGGACACACCAACTTGAATGAATCTAGTCACGCCCCAAAAGTGTATTGTAAGTAGCAACAGTATCCACCACAAAAAACGCAGACATCAGTGTCCTATTTCCCACTGTTAATTTAACAGGCAACACACCCCTTGAACGATTCACCCCTCTTGTAAAATCACTAATTGTAACCTCAGTATGCACTAAATCATCAAGAGACTTGCCTATTTTGTAGAGCATGCAAGTTGGAAGAACATTAACTGCAACTCCATTATCCATCAAGACACGGTTGATTGGAGTCTCATCCATGTGAGCATTGATATAAAGTGGCATAATGTGTCTGGCCATCTTTTCTTCTAGTTTTTCAAACACAATTTTGTCAAACATGTCCTTCTCTTCATCATCCTGAGCTGGAACAACGATTACCTCTTCTTCTGTCTGTTCTGGGAACTCACAGACGATTGGTTCCTCCTCCTTCTTAGCTTGGAAAACTAAGGGTAATGTAAGCACCATACATGACAAATTCACTAAGAATTCCCCAAAATGAATGGTGCCATCTTCTTTTGATTCAGCTCCACGATTCCCAGACTGTTCTTGTGCTTCAAAAGTTGCTTTCAAAACTCCGTCTTGACTCACAATGACAAATACCACCTTTGGAGAAGCTAGAGATTGGCCATCCCCTTCCAGTAGAGTTTGGGTTACAACCTCCTTTTTCTCTTTTCTCACCCACACCATGTCCCTTTTGGTATGTTGACGTGGTCTGCGAGATGAACTTGCCTCAACCTCCACCTGCTTCTGTTGCCTATTCCGCTCTTCAACCCTCTTGCGCTACAGTCTACGCCTCAAGGTTTTGGGATTCTGGACTGGAAACTTTGGATGATTGACTTTCTCCCATTTTCTGGACGGTGACCTAAGTGGTGGTTTGACCATTCTCGGAGATCTAGTACCAGCTGAGTGACGTCTGACACCTTATGGGCTAAAGTTCCTGGTCACAATGATCCTTCCTTGCCCCCCAAGCCTCTGCTAGTCTGACCTGATGCTCCTGCTATGTCTGGACCTTTGTGCCTCAATAACCCACCTTAGGTCTTCAACAACAAGGTTCCTTTGAGCATAAGGCAGACTACGATTTCTAGCAACACTCCTCAAGTATGCAACATTCACACCGACAGACACAGCTGGAAAAGGATCTGCGTTTACTCCCATGGTTTCCTTCGCTTTGTCTGAAAATTTCAAGATACCCTTATCAATCTTTTCTTGCAAGACATTACAAAAAAATAAGACAATTATCAGTAGAATGCTTCCAAGAATTATGAAATTTGCAATAATCTCTAGCTCCGATTTCAGCCACTATCGGGATTTTATGTCCCAGCAGCAGCTTAATTAGACCACTCTTTTTAAGGTGGTCGAATATATCACTAGCTTTTGACACATCAAAAGTATACTGTTTTCCAACCTCACCAACATAACGTCTCACAAATGTCTCAGGCTGGTGAGTTGGTCTGACAAGGTCTGGACAAACAACAAGCTTGTCTATAACCAACTCAGCCACATCAAGATCAAAATTAGGGTCACTGTAATAGGTTCCATGTGATGCAGCTTTCTTTTGAACATCTTCTTTCAGCAAATTTTCATACCGAGCCACTTTATAAAACAATTCGTAGAAGTCTCGAAATTCCATCCCCTCAAATTTCTTTCGGAGCTCAATATCCAGACCATTCTGAGCTAACTCGAAAAATTCCTGTTTTGGTAGTGCAACTCGACATTTCAGTCTAACTCTCCGGAACCTAGCAAGGAATGCCTCAGACGACTCTCCAGGCTTTTGGGCTAACCGCGACAAGTCTGCCATAAACACTTCCGGTTCATAACGATAAAATTGAGTATGAAACAAATCCTCCATTTGCCTCTAAGAGAAGACTGAATTTTGAGGCAGACTGAGGTACCAAGTAAGGGTTGTCCCAGTCAAAGAGTTAGGGAACAGTCTGAGTTTCAAATGATCATCTCCAGACACCTCTCCACACTATATTGTGAAGTGTCCAATATGTTCAATAGTGGAATGACCAACCTCATTAGAAAATAAAGTGAACTCAAGCAATTTAAAACCCCTTGGAAAAGGATTTTCATGATCAATGACGTCTGGATAAGGCTTCCTGTAGGCTGGACGTACCAATGGTCTCAAGGCTAGTCCATAGGTTTCCTATACCAGATCTATTAACTGATCTCTATTGAACAATTGAGCTGGTTGATTCTGCAGACCACGCTGTACCGACTGGGCTGGAGGAACTTGTGGCTAGAAAAAGTTCCTTGGGTTGGGTTGATGATGAGGACTCACATTCCCCCTCCTACCTAGCGGAATATACCTATGCTGAGGTTGATGGCCATGGTCTGCAACAGGAGCAACAGCCTCCAATGGTTCATGCTGTCTTTGTCCATCACCCATGAAGAAATTTTGCTGTTGAATGTTAGGATGAGGCTGATTCCCTTACCCCCCGAGTGCTGGGATTAGGGCTTCCTGAATCTGTCTAGGCATTTCAACGACTGGAGGAGGGATCTCAGGTCTGGGCTGTCGCACTTGCTCAACCACTTGTTCTGAAACAACCTGCAATGTTCTGCGACTTTCTTCCCCAGTTTCTCGCATCACTCTAATACCTTCTTCAAAGACCCCTCTCAAGTCTTCCATACATTGTCTAATTATCTCTTCTTGACGTCTGGAAGATTCTGCTTGACTCTTAACAAGTCTCCGCATAGCCTGGTTCTGTTCTTTGAATGCTAAATCCATATGTTCAGTCATACCTCTAAACACATTACTTGATTCAGTAAAAGTCACCCCCACGGTCTGCTTCTTTCTCCTTAAATACTGGATTTCCATAGGATCGTTCTGCCAAAGGTGACACTAGGAGAAAAGTGATGGGATCATTTTCACCCTTAGAGTGGGGTGGACTGTCATCTACATGCTCAGCTTGGGCTGGCTGAACCTCTTTGTCTCTGCTCTTTCTCTGTGGCATGGCTCTAGACGCCTCTGGATGTATAAATAAAGGATCTGTGAACTTTAACTGATAAACCTTGCTGGTGGTCCCACCAGGCATGCCAACAAAGGATTGTTTCCCCAAAAATAGTCAACCGACCTTTACCACGTGTGTTTGGTTATTAGGCGTGCCACTTGCTTTGTTTAAAAACAAGAAAACTGGATTTTCCAGACGACCCTTCTCCTTTCCATCGGTCGACCTCCAATAGGATGGCTAGAAAGAACGTCTGTGAAATGAATTGTGCCCCAGACGATGTTGCAAAATAGAGGGTAGAGTTCTGTAAAATGGGTTACTAATTGCCTTGGAAACCTCCAAGGACTTCACAACCAAACAAGTGTAATAAAAGCTACAAATCCTAAAATAAATGCAATATCCTAAGGCAATTAAACTAACATGAAGTAAATAACAAAAAATAACATACCATAAAGATTAAATTCGCAGATAGCAGAAAAAGTAAAAGAACAGACAATGATTTCAACTACGCAGCCCATAATGATTAAACTACTTACTGACAGGATTAAAATAAAAATAGCTAAACTACTTAATAACCAAAACTGAAGAAGAAACTATGAAATGATTAAAGTCTGAAAACTTATAAAATTAAATTTGGAAATTGAAATTAAGTAAACTGCATGTCTGGATATTATGCATAGACAAAAGAACAAAGGTAGAAAATGTTCAACCTATTTACATGAACGAATAACATAACTAAATCCATAAAAGGAAGAAGAACTAACTGAATCAAAAGGGCAGACCTGTTTTGAAGGCTAAGTTGCTTCCAAATGCTTAAAAATTAATCTAAATTGGAATTTGTGGAAGAAAATATGAACAAAGATGAACAAACCTAGGCTAAGGCTATGAACAAGAATAGATCTTGCAAACTAATCTAGAAAATTTGGAAACTATTGCTGAAATCTGAAAAATGCAGTCTGAAAGTTGAAAAACATGCTTTGGGCAATGTATGTGTGTTAGGCAGGCCTCTGAAATTGTTCTCTTCTCTTTATATTTATTTTCTTCGGTGCTGGGAACTTCCTCCATGATTTTCGGTACTATTCCTCAATGATCTGGTAGTGGGATTGCATGTCTGGCAGTTGTTTGACAGTTATCCGATAATTTTTATTTAACCTTATCTCCCACAAAATCTTAAAGATAACCTCCTCCTAAAAACTCTCAACTTCCTAACTTAAATCGAACTCAAATACCAGAAGTTATCTTATCTTCTGCCACCTAAAATCCAGCCTCCTTGAAAATCTATCTGGGCCATTAAATTGTAAGTCAGCCCAGCCCAAATCCAGCTTATTGATTTTCTTGATAATTGGGCTTTACCTTGACACGTGGCCTTCTCTCATTGGTTTATTTTATATGTAAACAACTATTCATCAAATTTATTTAAAAGAAAATATAATAATATTAACCAATATCTAATGAACCAATTAATGATAATATTCAATGGTTTAAATTTCAGAAAAAAAAAAATAAAACATATATAAAATATAAAGAAAATAATAATAATACTTAAATTTCACTTACCACTACTTGATCCACTACACTATAAGAAGAAAAATGTTAAAGTGATTCAAAGGAAAGAATGGAGGAAAGGAGACCAAGAACAACTTGCAGAGAGAAAAGGAAAATGAAACTGAAAGGAGGAAGACCAAAATGAAAGGAGAAGGGCGGTTCGGCAAGCAATAGGTAAGGGTGTTCACGGTGTGGTTCAGTTCAGATTTTACTATTTTTTAAACCAATCCAATTTAATTGGTTAATAGAATTTTTAAACCAATCTAATTCATTAATCATTATTATGTGATAACCAAACCAATCCAATTTAAATCGGATTGGTGTGGTTCGGTCGGATTAATCAGTTTTTAACATTATTAAATATATAAGATAATGAAAAAATATTTTAACATCAAATAGAAAGTATAATTATAAAATACATTAACATTTAAATCAGTAAAAACATAATAAAAGGTAAAAATTATAAACGAATTCTTATACTTCTTTACATTTGTAAAAATTGAAAAGCTCTGAAAATTTTTCTTGGTTACATCACTAGAGGCACCAAAAACAATAAAAAATAACTTCAAATTTCTAGCACAACGTAAATAATTCTTGAAGGTTAAAATTATTTGCTTTTTCTTAATACACTAATAATTTAATCTCATTTTCTAAATCCTATTAAAAGTGAATAACATTTAACATGAATATTACTAAAATTGATTAGAAGTATTCAAAATCAAAATTTAAAACTTCTAAACCAAATATCTAAGAATAGTTGATATTAAGACTAATTTTATTATATAGTTTTAAAGCTTTTAGAATTATACTTATTTAAAACTTAGTTAGGAAAATCATAAGATTATTTTAAGAATAAATTAAAATTTTAGGGTTCTAAGAGTAAATGCAAACCAGTTCTGAAAGGATAGAGTAGTAGGTGAATTAAAAATTTAAAATTAAGGTTAGAGTGCATGATTAAAATGGACAAATAACTTAGGGAATATAGAGATGTTCTATTTTTATTTTTTTTAATTAAGTTAATGGAGTTATAATCTTGTAAAATAAGAAAAAGAAAATTTAAAATACTACCAAAAAAATGTTATATTATTTAATTAAATTATCTTCTAATCGAATTTTATTTTGTAATCGGGCAGTTCAGACGGTTTTGAAGATAAAATTACGAACCAAACCAATTATATTTGGTTTTAAAATTTTAGAATTCAAACCAACCCAATTTTATATCGATTTAGATCGGTTTTTTATTGGATCGGATCAGTTTTTAGGTTAGATAAGTCAGATTGAATCGGATATGAACACTCCTAGGCAATAGGGACCTTTACTGACGAGATCCACATTGCTAAAATCTAAAGCTGATCATCTCTGCGTTGCTTCAAAACTCTCATTGACTGAGCCAATCACCGACAAATGTTTGGTTGGCAAAATATGTCTTACCAACCCAAACCTTGTCGGTAAGCTAAATAAAAAGCTGCAACACCAGGCACTAGCAGTCGGATTTGCAAGGAGTTGGGAATTCAAAATTTACCAACAAGGGTGATGTTGGGACATTGCATTAAAAAGCTACACCCCCTGACGCAGGCAGTCAAACTCACAGGGTCGGGTTGGGGAGTGGGAAATTACTGACAAAATGAATGTTGGCAAATATGGCTAGTATTTACCGACGAAATTCACGTTGCTAAAATGAATTTACAAGCCTGCTCTTCATCGGTAATTTGGGTTTTGGTCCACCTCTCGCCAAACTAAATATTGGTTGATATTACCGACAAGGAACACGTTGGTATTCTGTTAGTTTATCGACGAATATTTTGTCTGAACGATAAATAATATATATTACTGCTATTTCTACTGTTTCTGGACTTGCAAACGTATATCTTGTCGGTAAAATGATACTTCACCAAGAAAAATTCTTAGGTCAGTGATTGGTTGTCGGTGAAGTTGAGTTTTCTAGTAGTTAAGATTATCAATATAAAAAAATGTTTTTATATACGAACAGCCATATTTTGATCAATTTTGAAAATTTGCCTATTCTTCCCTTGTATTATTTCCTTGGATTGGTCTCTATGACTTGCCTTCTCAGTTGTTGACTTGTGCCCTTTCTTTGGCAATAAATTTTTTGATTCCCGCCTTTATCTTTTCTCCTTGATTTCCTTGTCACAGTAGTTGATTATGACTTCAATACGGAAATCAACTTGTGATTGCAACGCAGGTGTTTCGTGGAACTTTGGACTGAAATAACGAAAGATTGAGAAAAATTTAATTAGAAGACAAAAATAACGCGCTAGCATACCGCGATTTTAACCTTCTCCAATGCGCTTTTCTCAAAAACTTTCTCCGAGGCTTATCATTGCAATTGCTGATGACTTTCATAGCTGCATCTCGGATGAACAGACTGAAAGGAAACAATGAAGATAAGGAGAACAAAACAGACCGGACCTTGCCGTGAACTGTATAGAAAAAATTGACTCATGTCATGAGTCACGGTAATATTATGAAGACTTTGATTTATGTTTTCGCTGCCAAAGTAAGAATTAGAGTAGGAAGGACACAGGGGTTGGCACATTTTGAATATTATTGATATATTCAACTCTTTTATCTAAATTTTTGTATCTTAGTTCGTATAATTCAGATATTTAGATAAATTTGGTTAAAATAAAAATGATTAAAATTAATTTAAGTTCAAATATGATTATTGACCCATATTTAAAATTATCAATATAAACTATTAAATTATCTAAAATTTTTAATATAAATATTATATTTTTTGACAAAAAAAAATTTTTTTTATCAAATTTATAGGCAAGAAACTAAAAGAAAAAGATTAAAAAATCCAAGTTAAAAAGAAATGCTTTTAATAATTAAACGTGAAGAATAGTGATACATTAATATTGGCACATAAATTTTTTTTGTTATTCAGCCAATTAATGAAATTATATAAATAATTTTGAATAATCAAAATCATAACCGAATTGTCAGTTTAGGTTTAGTATGAAAGTCCCATCTAAAAGTTTTATAGATAACCAAAAATTTGGTTCATTTCCAACAATCTGAACCAAATGTGCAGTCCCAGGATTGAATGAGAGAGGGTTAATTAATTAAAAAC